AAGCATTTGGACTTCTTCTTTTTTCTTTTTTCTGACACAAAGTCTTGCACTGTTGTCCAGGCTAGAGTGCAGTAGTGTGATCTCAGCTTACTGCAGTCTTCACCTCCCAAGTTCAAGTGATTCTCCTGCCTCAGCCTCCTGAGTAGCTGGGACTACAGGTGTGTGCCACCACACCTGGCTAATTTTTGTATTTTTAGTAGAGACAGGGTTTCACCAGGTTGGTCTCGAACTCCTCAGGTGATCACCCACCTCAGCCTCCCAAAGTGCTGGGATTCCAGGCGTAAGCCACCATGCCCAACTGTATTTGGACTTCTTAGGTAGCATTACTTGGGTAAAAGAAACAAAGATTTAATCTGGGATTTGAATGTACCATTCTCTTATAGAAGTTCAGGCCAAGCGCATCATTAAGAAAGTACCTGAAAATATATTTCTTTTAGAAGTCCCTACTTCACATCCCCATGAGGCTTTGTACTCTGTTTCTCCATTATTTTCAAGTAAGATATGGCACCTCTTAGATAGACCGATGTCTTTTGGAAGAAGCAAGGGGAGAGGGTTTATTATGCAAACATAATAAGGAAGTGTTTATTATGCAAACAGCAACTGAGTTATGTGTCCTTTAAGACTACTAAATAGTTTTTAATTACTGCTATATCAGTAAATCCCATAAATATGCAAATGCAATTAGTTCACAAAATAGGCCTTAAATATCTTTATTCCTCTCCAACAAAGTTCTTTGAAGTTAATCGCTAACTCTCTTTGTTCACTCCCTTGGCAGTCATGCTAAAATTGACAGGAATTTTGACAGATGTACATATTCAGGGGGAACCAAATTTTCTGAGCACATCTGGTCAGGCTAGAGGAAAAAAGCAGACATGGACACTACAGCCAAACTGAAACGTTTAATGAGTAGAGTCCATGTGAAATTTCCGTTACTCCACAGCGTTGCCCTCTGAAATCAATTTCAAGCTAACCACAGAGGCGTCACTTCAAGTACAAAGACATTCAGCATTCCATTTTCCTCTAGCTTAGAATTTCATTTTTAATAATAATGCACATTTTATGGTCCCTAAAAAGTAAACAAATAAACAAGGAAACTTGTGGTTCTGGACTTTTGTGGTTTATGTGTCATGGTTTTCTGTGGGAGGTCATAGAGCATAAAATATAATGTCCCAAGCCTTGGAGTCAGACATATCTCATTGTGCATCCTAGCTTCATCGCTTGCTAGATGCTCATGGCCTTGGTCAAACTGTTTACTGTTTCCAGGCCTTAGTTTTCTCATCTGTAAAGAAGGTTTAACCAGCACTGAGTTAGTTTTCTATGGCTGCATTAAAAAATTACCGCAAATGTATGAGCTTAAAACAGCACTCATCAGCCAGGCGCGGTGGCTCACACCTATAATCCCAGCACTTTGGGGAGGCTGAGGCAGGCGAATCACCTGAAGTCGGGAGTTCAAGACCAGCCTAACCAACGTGGAGAAACCCTGTCTCTACTAAAAATACCAAATTAGTTGGTCATTGTGGCACATGCCTGTAAACCCAGCTACTTGGGAGGCTGAGACAGGAGAATCGCTTGAACCCAGGAGGCAGAGGTTGCGATGAGGTGAGATCACACCATTGCACTCCAGACTGGGCAACAAAAGCAAAACTCTACCTCAAAAAAAAAAAAAAAAAAAAAAAAAAAGCACTAATCTATTGGCTCACAGTCCTATAGGTCAAAAATCCAGGAACAGAATAAACGGATCTGCTCAGTGTCTCACAAGGCTGAAATCATGGTCGCGTGCTGGAGCCAGCTCTCACTGATCAAAAAAGCCATTTTTTTAAATATGTTGCAGTGATAACAATTGATAACTTGAAATCAGTCAGCCAGGAGCAGTGATTTACACCTGTAATCCTAGCATTTTGGAAGGCTGACTCAGGCAGATCACTTGAGCCCAGGAATTGAAGACCAGCCTGGGTAACATAGTGAAACCCTGTGTCTATGAAAACTATACAAAAATTGCTGGGCATGATGGTGCACGCCTGTAGCCCCAGCTGGTTGGGAGGCTGAGGTAGGAGGGTCACCTGAGCTCAAGGAGGTCAAGTCTGTGATGAGCTATAATTGTGCCACTGTACTCTAGCCTGGGTAACAGAGTAAAACTGTGTCTCAAAAGAAGAAAGAAAAAAGAAAAGAAAGAAAGAGAGAAAGAAAGAAAGAAAGCAAGTTTAGTCATAAAGAGAAAATTTGTCACATGGAAATCAGCAAACACTCCCACCAGGACCCTTCCCACCAGCTGGTTACAAAGTCTTTAACTACATGCTGTGGCCACTCCCTTGATCTTACAAGGCCTCATATGTTCCTACATTGCAGAACTTATTCAGGTATATTACGAGTCTTTGTTCACTTTTCTGTCTCTCTAGAATTTGATGAATACCTTGAGGGCAGAGCACTGTTGTATTATTCAGCTTTCTATCTCCATTATAGAGCTTGGCACCTAATGAACGTTGATTGAGTGTTCCGGACGGACGGAAGGAAAAGAGGGAAGAAAGAACTAACAAATGAGCAGAAAAGAACTCTGGCTTATGCCAGAAAGATGATGCCAAGAGGACCCCAGCCTATTCAAAACCACATCCAAGACGAGGTACACTCACCACCCGTTTCACAAAGAGCAGGTGAGATGGTGACTTGAGTTTGAAGCAAGATTGCTTTTATTTGATTTGCTTCAGAACCAGGGAACAATCGGTGCAAAGGACAAACACGAGACAATAGTGCAGATAGATCATGAGTCCCTTTGACTCACTCGGAGGGTGCCCCAAGTTCAGAAATTTTACAGTCCTTGAGGGTAAAATGTCCCCCAAAAGCTAGAGGAAAATAGAAGGTGGAAGGAACTCGGAGGAACACAGAAGCTTATGCTCCCAATGACATCAGTTCCAAGAAACCACTTAGTGAGACTACAATATATGGCAGACCCTCTTATCCTGTATACTATGTCATTCAGATCTTCTGCACAGATTATGGGCCTTGAAGTCTTGCTGTGCCAGCACTGGGGGATCTCCTCTGCTCTGTGGCTCACTGTAGAGCCCCCAGTGTTTCCATTTAGACCCATGTAGGCATTTTCTGGGGAGAGGCTTGGATACAGTCAGTTAGTGCAGCCAGTGAGATATTCTGGTTCAAGTATAAATCTCTGGATATTTCCATGTCTGCTATGACTCAAGATGAGGAAAGGTCTTTAATCTTTTAGAACTTTATTCATTCATTCATTCATTCATCCACTCACTATGTAGGAAATTGTGATAGACCTTGATGATCTACAGATAAGAGAGCTCAAGGGAGGTGGGTTGGAGGTGACAGATAAGAAATATTTCAATCAGAGAAATGCCTACAGATGGTTGAGCTGGAGAAGACTCAGGCAAAGAAAGGAGCCCAGACTTGGAGTGGGAATAGGTGGAGGCTTTTCACAAATGGCATTTGTGCTGAGTACTGATATTCAGCTGGGTAGGGAGTGGGAGAACGGAGCTCCCAGCAGAAGGAATTGCAAGTGAAAGGGCTGGAGGTTGAGATGAGAGAGCATGGTGCCTTCTGGGAATGGGGTCAGAGGAGGGTGCAAGCCTCACTTTGTAAAATTGGGGGAAGATAATTCTAGACTCACATGAGTTGAATGAATTCAAAAGTTCATGATGCAGAGTGTTGAGTAGGGATAAAATAGGAAAGTGAAATATTGTATAAGTCTGTATAAATGCTGTTATTATAAAGCTGTCTCCAAATGGCCTATAGCAATTATTCTAAAATGCACAACAGCTGTATTTGTCCCCCTTCTGCCATTGCTGAAATTTACACTGTCATTGCGCCAGGAGGAAGGCTTGGCACTAATAATAGGCTGGCTGAGTATGGCTGGAGTGTGACAGACCCCTAGTTAGAGCCCTAAAAGACTGCAAGTGGGGAACTGTAAAGCTCTGAGGAAATCCGAGTCGGTAGCTGTGAATATAGTCAGAGCACCACCTCGTGGTGGCTGTCGTGCCTGCCTTACCCAATTCTGCTCAGCCCCAGAAAACTACACAGCTCATTTTAAGTTTAATCATACGGTGCACTTTCAGATGATTTCAAAGTCATGTCACGCCTCTATTCATGTCACCACTATTTGTCTTTGCTGTAAATTCTCCTCTTTGCGTTCCCCAGCACCAATCCACACCAACCCATCCAATCCATTTTCACTCAGCTTATGACTAGCCACTAGTTCCTTCCTCCTACCTCCTTATTTTAATTCTTTCAAACTCATGGTCCCTAGGAGCTCCCAAGTTTCCTGGGAAACTGACTCAGTAACTTATCTTTTTTCTTTTTTCTGAGCAGAGTCTCGCTCTGTCATTCAGGCTGGAGTGCAGTGGCATGATCATAGCTCACTGCAGCCTCGACCTCCTGGGCTCAAGTGATCTTCCCACCTCAGCCTCCAGAGTAGCTAGGACTACAAGTATCACCATGCCTGGCTAATTTTTTTTGAGTCTCCCTATGCTCCCTAGTCTAGTCTTGAACTCCTGGGCTCAACTCCTGAGACACCTTAGCTTCTCAAATTGTTGAGATCACAGGTATGAGCCATCACGCCCATCCTCAGTGACTTCTTACAGTGTAACTTTCCTACTCTTTCCCTAAGAATGGGAACAAGTCTTCTCCACATCTGAAAAGTTATAAATAATATTATTAAAATCCATATCAGAGATTTACTACAAAGATAGGACCCCAGAGGGACTGTCTGCACCTGCCAGTAGAGGAAGGCTGGTCTCTGGCCATGCAGCGACGGGCCAGTGACACAGTGTCCTGGTAGGCAGGCTGGCATACCAAGTTTCAGAGGAATTGCCCCAGGGAATGGGAGTAGAAGTATATGACCTCTTGAAAAGCACAAAGCATTTGTTTCTATGTTGAGATCATTCAGAGGTTTTGAAGGCACCAACCCTGCCTTTGATTTGCTTACAGTCAAGTGAAGCAGACACAAGTCAATAATCAGTAGAGCCACTTAAGTTTTCTAAAAGAGATTTAGCAGCAGGTTGCAAGTGAATATGGGCTTGAGGTAAATCCTCCTCCTTGTTGAACTACAGTTTCAGTAGATGATTCATGATATTTTAAGGAATTGGAATTTTTAAATAAAAATATAAAAGTTTTGTTCCTAAATAAATGAGAAAGATGCTTCAACAAAGATTCTTTATGCTGAATAATTATGATGCATGAAGGTGGTAATCTGCTTTGTTTAAGTGGATTTTAAATGCCAGACAATTCTAGACAGTTTTTTCTTGATCAAATAAAAATTTAATTAAAACTTAAAAAAATTAAAAGCCGTTTAATATTGACAGGAAAGATAAAACTCTGTAACACTGACTGTCTTAGAGTGGGTTTCCCTGAAACATAACTGTAGTAAGGCTTTGTGTATAAGCAATCTGTTTTAGAAATACTCCCAATAGAAACTGAGAAAGAGGGGGGTGGTTTTAGCTTGAACCCTCAGGGACACTTGACAAGTAAAAGCCTCACAAGGGAGGCTGGCCTGTACACTTTCATCCCACCTGTCAGCTGTTGGCTAAGGGGAACAGGGAGTCAACTCCCAGATATTTCCTGCTCTTTTCCTGGGCAGACAAAGCTTTAGTAGCCTACAAGTAGTCTCCAACGAAAGTCCTGGATGTGAGCCTTGGAAGCAACAGTAGAGGGAAGCCAAGGGAGGTAGTGCAGAGGCAGGAACAGAGGCCTGAAAAGATCTGGAAAGACCACTAAACAGTTTCTGTTTCAGAGACAGCACAGTCACATGGGGGCACCAACTTTCTTATTTGTTCAGAAGACAATTAAGACAGGGCATCATGGTATCACGCCTGTAATCCTAGCACTTTGGGGGACAGAGGCAGGCAGATCACTTGAGATCAGGAGTTCCAGACCAGCCTGATCAACATGGCAAAACCCTGTCTCTTTTTTCCTTTTTCTTTTCTTTTTTTTTTTTTTTCTGCTCTTTTTGAGACAGAGTCTCACTCTGTTGCCCAGGCTGCAGCGCAGTGGAGCAATCTTAGCTCACTGCAGCCTCTGCCTCCTGGGTTCAAGCGATTCTCGTGCGTCAGCCTCCCGAGTAGCTGGGATTACAGATGTCTGCCACACTGCCCAGCTAAGTTTTTTATTTTTAGTAGAGACAGGGCGTGTTTTGCCATTTGGTCAATATGATCTCAAATTCCTGACCTCAAGTGATCCACTTGCCTCAGCCTCCCAAAGTGCCAAGATTACAGGCGTGAGCCACCGCACCTGGCCTTGAAGCCCCATCTTTACCAAAAAATACAAAAATTAGCTGGGTGTAGTGGCATGAGCTTGTAATCCCAGCTACTGGGGAGGCTGAGGCACAAGGAACTCTTGAACCCAGGAGGTGGAAGTTGCAGTGAGCTGAGATTGTGCCACTGCACTGCAGCCTGGGCAACAGAGCAAGACTTGGTCTCAAATAATAATAATAAATAAAAAAGAAGACAATTAAATTTCCAGGAACCTGATGATTAACTTTGCAGAGCCCAAACATACAGAAAGATAATTAACACTTTTGTTTTCTTTTTCTTTTTTGAGAGACTCTCACTCTGTCACCCAGGTTGCCGTGCAATGGAGCAGTCTCAGCTCACTGCAAGCTTCACCTCCTGGGTTCTAGTGATCCTTATGCCTCCGCCTCCTGAGTAGCTGGAATTATAGGCACCCACTACCATGTCTGGCTAATTTTTTATATTTTAGGTAGAGATGGAGTTTCACCATGTTGGCCAGGCTGGTTTCCAACTCCTAACCTCAAGTGATCCTCCCACCTCAGCCTCCCAAAGTGCTGGGATTACAGACACATGCCACCACACCTGGCTAATTTTTGTATTGCTTTTTTTTTTTTTGAGAGACAAAGTCTCGGTCTGTTACCCAGGCTGGCGTGCCGTGGCACGATCTGGGCTCAATGCAACCTCTGCCTCCCAGGTTCAAGTGATTCTCCTGCCTCAGCCTCCCAAGTAGCTGGGATTACAGGCATGCACCTGGCTAATTTTTGTACTTTTAGTAGAGATAGAGTTTTCTCATGTTGGCCAGGGTGATTTATTGCTTTTTTCAAATTAGTATTACTTCTCCTGGCTGGGCGTGGTGGCTCACACCTGCACTTTGGCAGACCAAGGCAGGCAGATCACTTGAGGTCAGGAATTCAATATCAGCCTGGCCAACATGGTAAAACCCCGTCTCTCTGCTAAAAATACAAAAATTAGCCAGGCATGGTGGTGCCTGCCTGTTGTCTCAGTTACTTGGGAGGCCGAGGCAGGAGAATTTCTTATGCCCGGGAGGTGGAGGTCGCATCACTGTATTCCAGCCTGGGCAACAGAGCAACAGTCCATCTCAAAGAAAGAAAAAAATATATATTACTCCTCCAAATATTTTCCTTTGGAAAAAGCTCTCTCTACAAATATTTGGTGATGACTTTGCCGTAATTTTAACAGAGTCACATAGTTACTATCTTGACCATATATTTTAAAAATAAAATATGAAATTTAAAAATCCGAAGTCTAAGTTCTACTGGTGTGATGTATAAGCAAGTAATCTGCAACCCTGGCAGCACATTAGGCTCATCGGGTATTTTCATTTTTCATTTTATTTTTTTTATTTATTTATTTTTTTAAATTTATTTTATTGCATTTGGGGAGTTTCGCTCTTGTTGCCCAGGCTGGAGTGCGATGGTGAGATCTCGGCTCACTGCCACCTCCGCCTCCTAGGTTCAAGTGATTGAGTAGTGGGGATTACAGGCTTGCGCCACCGCGCCTGGCCTCATAGAGTATTTTTAAATGACCTGGGCCCCACTTCTATACATTCTGACGTTATGGTGTAAGATGGGACCCAGGCACCAGCATGTGTTTGAAACTCCTTAGGTAAATCTAATGTGCTACTACGGTCTAAATCAATAGAAATAAATAGATTCACTTGCTGATGGATGGAATGAATTTCCTTTCATTCCATTATTATTCAATTCAATTCTGATGCTTGTAAAAGGAATCTTTTGGGATGCCTGCCCCGTTTACAATTCCCCTCTTTGAGAATTTCCTTTTTCTCCAGCTTCAGTAGCCAAGTATGTACTGTTATCCGACCTCCTCTGATGAAATACAATAGGACAAGGGGTGAACATCTGGTCCAAATGGACCACTAGACTTTCCCAAAACTGGGAACCAGGACAGTAAGTCACTAGCCAGCTGGCTAATCGTGCTGCCCCTGTGAAATAAGAAATGCTGTAGATCCAGGGCTGGGATAATGTCAATTTCCACAGAGAAGCAAAGAACATTGGCTACAGAAAATGCAAAGAAAACAGGCCTGTGGAGAGACCAAGGATGAGAAGTCACCTGTGGCCCCAGTTAAAGAGACAAGCAATTTTGATTTTTGTTGACTCTCCAGGAACTGGCTTCACTGCTTGTGTGGCCCAGCTACACTACATTATGAGACTGCTCTGTGGCCTCAAAAAAAAAAAAAAAATCACCTTCCCTTCCAATTTTACTTAGAGCTACTTGTGCTGGTTTCTGTTATTTACAACTAAAAAGATCTTGTTAGGCTTGATGCAATGGCTCATGCCTGTAATCCCAGCACTTTGGGAGGCTGAGGCAAGTGGATCATCTGAGGTCAGGAGTTTGAGACCAGACTGTCCAACATAGCAAAACCCCATCTCTATTAAAAATACAAAAATTGGCTGGGCACAGTAGCTCACACCTGTAATCCCAATACTTTGGGAGGCCGGGGCGGGCAGATCATGAGGTGAGGAGATCGAGACCATCCTGGCCAACATGGTGAAATCCCCTCTCTACTAAAAATACAAAAATTAGCCAGGTGTGGCGTCACATGCCTGTAATCCCAGCTACTTGGAAGGCTGAGGCAGGGGAATTGCTTCAACCCAGGAGGCAGAGGTTGCAGTGACCCAAGATTGTGCCACTGAACTCCAGCCTGGGTGACAGAGTGAGACTGTTTAAAAAAAAAAAAAAAAAAAAGATTTTGTTAATTTGGCCAGATGTGATATTTATGCTAAAACAATATCTTTCCATTAGATAAAGTACAGTCATGCATCACATAAGGATGTTTTAGCCAATGGACCACATATATGATGGGGTCCTATGCAGGACTTATATTGGAGATTATAATGGAGCTGCTCTATACGGGTGTACCATTTTTTATCTTCTATACAGTATTTTACTATGTTTAGATATATGTAGTATGTTTAGATAACCAAATACTTGCCACTGTTTTACAAGTGCCTATAGTATTCAGTGCAGTAACATGCTGAGCAGATTTGTAGCCTGGGAGCAATAGACAATACCATATAGCCTATGTGCATAGTAGGCTGCACCATCTAGGTATGTGTAAGTGCACTCCGTGGTGGTCAAACAACAATGAAGTTGACTAATGACATATCTCTCAGAACATATCCCCGTCATTAAGTCATATTACTGTATGTAGAGGAATATCAGCTGATAGCATGTGTTCACTGCTGGCTTGTGCAGAATCACTCCTTACCACCATGTCTGTCTGCATTTAAGGGAGAGAGGCCATGCCTTAATCATCCAGGCAGCATCTAGCACAGTAAAATGTGTGTTCAATGAATAATTTTTAAATTCAACCATCAGCCTTATTGAATAGAACATGTATGTTTCACTCTGCTAAGGGTACTATAACAGAGTAGCCTTTGTTATACCAAGACTCAGTAGCTTAGATAATGGAAATTTATTTTCTCACAGCTCTGGAAATTGGAAGTCCAAGATGAAAATGTCAGGAGAGTTAGCTTCTTCTGAGGCCTCTCTCGTTGGCTTGCAGATGGCTGCCTTCTCACTGTGTCCTCACACAGCCGCCCTACATCTGTGTTTTCTGTGTCCTAATCTCCTCTCTGTATAAGGACATGAGTCATAATAGGTTTAGGTCCACACTAAAGATCTCATTTTAGGCTGCACTCGGTGGCTCATACCTGTAATCCCAGCACTCTGAGAGGCTGAGGTGGTTGGGTCAACCTGAGGCCAGGAGTTTGAGACCAGACTAGGTGACATGGTGAAACCCCATCTCTACCAAAAATACAAAAATGAGCCAGGAGTGGTGGCGCATGCCTGTAATCCCAGCTATCTGGGAGGCTGAGGTGGGAGAATCACTTGAACGTGGAAGGCAGAGGCTGCAGTGAGCCAAGATTGCACCACTGCAACCCATCCAGCCTGGGTGACAGAACAAGACTCCATCTCGAGAAAAAAAAAAATCTAATTTTAACTTGATTACTTCTTTAAAGAAACTACCAAACATGCAAAGGGAGGAACTTGAGAGGAGAAACAAAATA